GAGACGCGAGAGCGACGGAGACGCAGGAGCCTGGCATGGCATGGCATGGCATGGCATGGCGTGGCCCGTTCTGGACACGCTGCTCCTGCCCAAGGCTAAGCCCGCGTCTGGGAAAGGCGCTCCGGCGCTTCCCCGTCTTTTGCGCTTGGGGACTCTGCGGAGGCACGATGGGGAGAAATGGGGTTTCATACTGATCAACGGAGTTAGCTTTTGCCCGACGCCCCTCGCTTCTCAGTCCCGGCTCCACCTGGCCTCAGGAGTGGCAGCCTGCTCTGCGTGGCTTCCGGCCCCCCAAGTTATGCATCCCTGTTTTTCAGAAGGATGCCTTGATGCCAAGAACCCCACAGAACCATCATAGCGACCTGGATATATTCTCTCTGCCCCCCCCCTTTCCCTGAGAGTTCAGGGTGGTGGAGACAGAGGTGGCCCTTCCTTCTCCCCTTACCACCACAACCCTGGGAGGTGCGGGGGGTTGAAAGGGACCAACTGGCCCCAACTCCATGTCTGGGGGAGAAGCTGAATCCCCCGATCCAGCCCCTTGACTGCTGGACGTCTCTGGCTCAGCAAAGCAGGCTTGTTGTTTGACAGTTCGAGGCCTGGAGAACGACGCTGAGGCCATCATGCTCGGGAAGGCCAACCGCGCCAGCGCCACTGGGAAGCAGGGAGGTTGACCAGACCAGCCTCACCCAGGGGTGCCAGGCAGCGGAAGGCCAGGGAGCGGTTCTGCCGGCTGAGAGGGAGGGAGGGAGAAATCTGGGAGCTGCTGAATTCCCTTGCTGAAGACGAGAAGCCAGCCCGTGAGTCGCCCTCGTGGTGGCCTTCAGCCTCCTCAGAGTCCATTCAGTTCAGCTGCTGGTTCAGCAAAGGAGCCTTTGGTCGTGAAGGAGCTGCTCCTGCCTTGGACAGCTGTGCAGACAGGGGAGGGTCGTTCTCCGTGAAAACATTCCTGGGAAAAGGGAGTTGGGACGGTTCTTGTCCTTGGGGCAGAAGGAAGGAAGGAAGGAAGGAAGGAAGGAAGGAAGGAAGGAAGGAAGGAAGGACGGACCATTGGCAACTGAATGTGGTGTAGTCCAGATGTGGTGGACTACCGCTCCCATCACCCCACGGGCATACGATGGGAGGCGCCAGCATGCAAAAAAGGGAAAGGGAAGGTGGACTGGCTCAGCTCCTCTTCCTGGGCACAATCTGGGTCTGCCGCCAGCCGCCCCTGTTAAAAGTGGCAGATGCTCCTCCTGCTTCTGGGAAGCGCAAAGAGGATCTTGTGATTGTCACAGGCAGTGGGCACCTTGCCCAGGAAATGTGGGCTGTTGACAAAAGCGCTGCAATTTCTTCCCATAAAAAAACGAGGGCGTCGTTGCCCGCCCTATGGAGTGAACAGATGCTGGCTCTTTCCGAGGAACTGAGTAATCCTTCGGTGTAATTTCTGGAGCCAGGAAACCCTGTTGGTCAGGGGTAGGTCTGAAAGGGAGAAGGGCCCCAGTTCAACCCCCGGAAGGGCTGGAAAAATGGCAGAAGCCCTGGGGAGCTGCAGACTGTCTCCTAACACAGGCCAGTCACATATTTTGGGGGGGGCTGGGAGGGGGGAGAAAGAAATGGAGGAGCTGCAGGCTCTTGGTCCAGTCAGGGGCTGGGACGCTGGCAGAACAATCTGCCCAAAAAAGGATCAGCTTCCCCGAAGGGGCTTCGAAAAGACTGAAAACATCTCAGCTGCCTTCACGCCCTCAGAGAGGTCTGTGCCGTGGCCCCTCGGGGACGCTGCCTCTGGTTTTGACCTTCTGGCTCACAAGGAAGCCCAGGGAAAGGTTAAGACTCACTCCTGCCGAGCTGAGCTCCGGGCGACAGAAAGTAGGGATTGGAGGGCTTGGGAGATCATTTAGCCCAACCTCTGCCAAAATCCCCACGGTGTCCTCTGCTTCATCACCTGCCCAAAGAACTCCATCACCTCCCAAGGCAGCCTCTTCCAGACGTCCAGCAAAAATCTGTTCCCTTGTCGCTGAAGTCCACTGCGGTCCTGTGGGACGACTCTGAATGGCGACACCCCTTTTTCTGCACCAAGACGTCTTTCCACGCACGCCTCTGTTCTTCAGGCTAAACATACCCAGCAGCTCCCCTGTTCCTCAGTGGGCCTTCCTTTCTTCCTTCCACCGCAGGGTTCTCTGGACAGGCTCCGGTTTCTCTCTGTCCTCCTTAAACGTGGTGTTCAAAACTGGGCACCCATACAGTGTTCCTGACAACCATTCAGAGGTGATTTGCCACCGTCAGCTTCCAAGGTGCCTTTTTTTAACAGTCTAGTCTGTGCTAGGACTTCCCAGTGGTCTCCCATCCATGGATAAACCAAGTCCAGCTGCAATGGATTTCCTCCAACGATTTGCCACCACTTTTTATGCTAGATGTCATTTGCACACAGAGAGGGAAAGGGGGGGATCAGCCGGGTCGACTTGGAGAGGTTCTCCAAAAGAGGATATTCTCTCTCGTAACCGGCGGCAGCTCCAAGCGCTGACCATGGAAAGGGCCATGACTTCGTCCTGCCGCTTCGCCAGCATGGATAGAAGGCTGCAAAAATCCGGCCACCGCTAGATGTCAGCAAAGCCGCCCAGAGCACAGGGCTCGCCGCCGCGGACACGCTCCCGCCGCCGCCCTCCCTTGCGCCGCCCTGCCGCGCGCGCCCGCACTTTGCGCGCCCCCGGGCCAATGGAAGAGGCCCCCAGCGCCCCTCCCAGCTCTGCGATTGGGCTCCGCGCGGCGGGCCGGGCGATAAAAGGGTGAGGCCGAGGCGGGGGCTGCCAGCGCGGGGTTCCAGCGCCCCCGGCGGGAGGTACCGTCGGGCGGGGGGCGC